TGCTGCTGCTGCTGCTGCTGCTGCTGCTGCTGCTGCTGCTGCTGCTGTCCTCACCCCAGGCATCACACTCTAAAGCCAGCCCATGCCCCAGTCAAAAACTGGTGGGAAGGGTGCTGGGAGACAACTGGAAAGAGGCCTGGGAATGTCATTTTGTTACTCATTGCCTTCCTGTAATTGGTAATCAGTTGTCCCAGATGGGTATGGAGTATGAGTATGAGTATGGACTATGGATATAGGTATGGTTATCTTCCTGAGCAACACACTGTGGAACATGTGGAGCCTTATGAGATACCCTAGCTGATCTCTGATGACTTGAGGAGCATCCCATTCTCCCAGTGACCAAGCCTCTAGTTTGAAATTGGAGAGCAAGAGACCAATGGTGCCCTCTATCCTATGCAGGACATCTCTGTAGTGAGGCCAGGCCAGGAGGGAGCTGTGTATACTACTTGCAGCCCCAAGACAGGTGTGTTCCTATGCCACTGTGTGTGGATTGTGCAAGAGTACACTTGAAGGGTGACATGCATGGGGTGGCAAAATCTACTAGGACTAGAAGCTTTTGTTGCCTGAGGTGGATTAAGAAATGCTGCTTCCTGCTTTATTCTTTCATGAAAAGTATAACATCTGAGAGAAAAACCTCACCAAAAAATACATTAAGATAAATTAAATCACTTGGTGGGCTGATAGCAAGATTATTGTTGCTGACAGAAATCACCCACATTTCAAATGTTAACTGAACTGATGTTAATGATACTTAATTTAGTTTTACCTCTGCTTTTAATTTTGTTGTTTTAAATTTTATTTTTTTATCATTTGTATTTTTGGTTGTTGTTAGCCACCTTGACTGTTGTAAGGACAGAAAGATGGGCTTTAAATTAAATAAGAAAATAGTACCAAGCCATAGCTTGCTTTTTCACAGAATGCTGAACAAGCCACATTAAAAGAAGTCTGAAACTATGCTTTACAAACCAGTATGATAGATACAAATATTGTGCTAGAGCTTGAGAGACACCCCCCCCCCAAAAAAAACCCTTTTGGATTGAGGAACAGAAAGACAAAAATGAATATTTTTTGTAAAGCAACTCTCTACTTGTGTCCTCTTTTTAGAAAGCTCTATTATAATAACTGTATACTGTATATCACAGATAGATGGGTAACTCAAACTGATCACAGCAATTGAAGGTCTTTTCTGACGTTCAGATTACAACTGAAAATAGTTACATATTGGTTCAATATATAAAAATGAATAAATATTCCTTTCACTGCTGGCTTAGTCAGTCTTGTGAATAAGTCGATATATATACTAGTCCTGAATTATTAAACATTGTAAGTACTTTCTTCCTGGCTGATCTAGTTCAGCTTTCCTCAGTCTGGTGTTTTCCAGATTTACTGGTCTTTAGACATGCTGACTGGGAATTTTAGGAGGGAAGGCTACCACATCTGGAGGACAGCGAGCTGGGAAAGGCTGGTCTAAATACTGCTTTCTATAAATAAAATAAGAAATTAAAACGATTCATTTATTCCTAGGAGATGATAAAATTCTTCGTTTATGGCATCCAAACATCAACACCAAGCCAGTGGGGAAACTGATGGGACATTTATTTACTATCACGGAGATTGTCACCAATGAAAAAGATCAACATATTATCAGCCTTTCTACTGCAAAGGTATGGCATTTTCCTCCTTCGACTTAGTGAAAATCATATGCTTTGCCAGAAAATGATGTATTTCCTGTTTTATAACATATGAAACATGTTCATAGTATAACAATACTATTTTTTGCTCATGGGTTCCAGATCTGAAATGGATACAGTGGAATTCCACTTTCCCGTTCACTATAAAGTACATATGCATGTACTTTAATGACCCATTTATTTCTGTGGGTCATAATTTTAAACCAAAAGGCAAGACAAGATGCTGACAATATTAAGAAGATGCTACAAATCTAAGAAAAATTCCTCTTGTCATTCATCAAAATATTTAACCGATACAATAAACTTCAAGAATGTTTTATGAGATTCCAGAAAACATGTTTGTTAGATTTGATGACATAAAAAACAAGTTTCATATAAGTCAGCTTTGTATTTTCTGCTAGCTTAACTCCTGATGACTTGATAGATACATCCATGTAATTGTCTTAACAATGCAGAAGTACTTTGCCATTACAGTACTTTCTTCCTGGATGCTTTTTCAATTTTTCAGTCTGCTGTTGTGGAGAAAAATATGAGGAGGGGGCACTATATATGCTGTCTTAATCTCCTAAATAAAAGGCAGGATATAAATCTAATAAATTAATTTAGTTAGCAGACCTAATATTTCCTTGTGATCTCCCATCAAAGGGCTAACTGTGACCAATGCCGTTTAGCCTGAGATCAACCAAGATGAGCTTGTTATTAAGCAACTAAGAAATGGATACAAACATAAGACTGGAATTCTTTGTTTTGACAGGTGTGAGTGTTGGCTAGAGGTGAACTGGAACACTGCACCTTTTCTGCACTGCACCATTCTCCATATCTTCTCCCAATTGTATTTTCTCCCAAATTTATTATGAGCTTATATCCTAAAAATGACATTGATAGTCATATGATAGAGTTTAATCCTAAGAAAGTATTAGCTATACAGTCAAGGATGATTGAAAGGAAAGAGAATGGTGGAAGATGATAAGATTCTGTTTAGCCTTATAGATATACAACAGTGCACATATAAGCCAAGCTGTGGATCTATTGTATGTAGCTTAGCCAAACTGTTAACAGGTTGACCCCCTCTTCTCTTAACTGATAGTTCTTAAACTTTAATATAATTTAACATGTAGACCTAAATATATTTACTAAATTAATAATTGTTGAGTATTGCTTTGGATTAGATTGTACATTCCACTGAAAACAATAAGACTACTTTGTTGTATTGATTTGAGACAAGAATTCCACTTTGCATTGCTAGGTTAGAAGTTTCTCTGACAAATGTGGAGGTGTCAGCTCTACAAGGTAGACTAGACTAAGAAACTAATGCAATGTAGGTCAGTACTGCTTTTATTGTAACAGATACAGTAGTAGAATCTTGCAAGTCTGAAGTGCTTCCCCTCCCTCCCTTTATCTTCATGAGAACTAGGGAGGGGCTTGTCTGAGACATTTACTCATGTTCCTTTCTTGGTCTGGGCTCAGTCCCTTTTTATCTAACCATTGCTTTGATAGTGGCTCTTCCTCCTGTCTTTCAGGGCCTTTCCCTGTGCCCTCTACAGGAGCTACTGTCTGGGTAAGTGTACTCAGAATCTGCCTGAATCGTGACTCACTTTAACTGGATGTGGGCAAAATGTGCCTGCCTGCTCTGGGTGCAATACAAAGAAGCTTAGGAGCCCAGCATCCTCATCAAACAGGGTACATAACATCATCAGTTCACAAAAGCTTAGTCCCTGAAGCTCCTTTTTCATTTCCTCAAATCACTTCTGGATGTCAAGGAAATCTCTAGAATAGCAACAAATGAAATGAGAATTGGCAGAGCCCTAATGGTTATGCAGGTATATTCTACTCATGGACATGGTCTCCTTGGATCCTGGCTGGACTTTAACTCCTTTCCCAATAAAACCCAGCCGCTTCATCAGTCTTTGTCCTTCTATAAATATTGTTTTTATGTAGCGTGAATCATTGCCACACACCTACCTGCTAGCCGGATTTATGAACAATGACCTTTAGGATCCTGTTGTTGTGATACCTTTCTTTGAACATTTTCTTCTTTAGGCTAAATTTATCCAAATCCTTCCACTTTTCTTTAGATTACTTGTTTTCAGTACCATTGACCTTCATTGACCTCTTGGTTCTACTAGCAGATTTTAAAGTATAGGGCTCATAATATAACAAAATATTCCAGATGTCAGATTAGTACAGATGGATTATTTCTTTACATAACATACAGTATATTGTGGACTTCACTACCATCAAACATTATCCTAAATTAGATTTTTTTTTCATATTCATGTACAAATTCATGGAAGACTAGACTACTAATCTTAACAGCTGCATATTACCTCCTAACTCACAAGCAACATAGTTTCAAAACTAGTTGCTAGGGATCAATACTTCTGGATGATACATAATGCTGAATTAAATGAACTACTGACATGATGCAACAATTCTATTCATATGCTCTTCTATTCTTAAAATTAAGTGAGATTATTCCTTCTAAAACTGCAGACCAAACTGGGACATCAGAAAATACATTCTGGAAGAATACAATGTCAAATGATTTCTATATTGTTGTTCAGGATTTTAAAAGTTTTTATTTTCCCCTTTTTATTATTTATTATAACTTTGAACTTGCATTGTTCTCTCAAAGTTGCCTTTTATAATCTTTTTTTTACAGCTGCAACACAATTTGAGTCATGTAATTTATTAGACTTGCATGTTCCTTTTCTCACCAGCTACTCCCAAACCATAGCCTATGGGGTATATGTTTGTGATTATGTTTTCTTTTATTCTTACTTAGAAATCTGCATTTGAATTTAATTTTGAAATGCTGCTAAATTTCATTTAATAATTTTGGCATAGTTTTCCATCCTGTTAAAATCACTTTGATTATTTGTGCCTTTTGAGTAGTTGGTTACTCAACTGTTGTTCCTACTTCTGTACCATTCATAAAGTTGATGTGGATTTCCTCCACTCCTTCGCCAGTATCTTTGAAAAAAATGACTTGTCCTTGGCTCTGGATTGAGCTCAGTAGCGTCTCATTTGAAACTTACTTCTGGATTCACAAGGGGGAATAGCTAAGGGCTGTTAGGGTGCAGTTTTTATACACTTGTGAATTCATCAGATGTTGTATCATTTAGTTCACATTTAATCCATGTATCATTCAAAATATTATGGAAGATTTCATCAGATGATTTGCTGAAATCACAATAAATTATGGTCAGAATTTACTAATATAGTAACCTAATCAAATAAAAAATTCAGATACATCTAGCAGGACTCATTCTCAGTAAACCCATGCTGGATATTGCTTATCACTGCAGTGATTATTACTATTCAAATACTACACACACACACACACAGTGTCAGAATGATTTAAGAATGAAGCTGCAATGTGAAAATCCAACTTTACTTAGTCATTTCTGGTTTTACTGGTTTCCAACCAAGTGATCTTTTTTCACACTGTCAAACATGCTAATTGAAAAGACGCTACTGTGCATTAGACAAATGTCTCCCATTCTACATTATACACAATAGGTTACTTGTACCTACAAAGAGATTCTTTAATTCCCAAATAACAGAAAGCTGGGTGTTAAAATAAAAAACCACTGCATCTACACAGAGTTAGTCTACAAATCTCTGCTGGAAAACAAGCTTACCAAATATATGCCATTAACTTCTTTTTTAAACAAACTGCTTAGGTGAAAGAATGGCATACATTTTTTAATGGTAATTGTATTTAACTAGCTTGGGTATAGAGTGTAAAACAAATATTAGCAAACTGGGAAAATTTTACTTGTATCACTGTAATTGAAGCTACAGTTTCAAAATTTTTCTTGGTATTGACTAGCTCTTTTGCATGAAAATTATTTAAAAATAAGCTTACAGAATGGTTTTTCAGCACCAAGCAAATACATTTCTCTCTTCCTGGATGTTTCTATAGTTTTTTAACTGCTTTCTTTATATTGGAGTAATGGGTTTTGTTTTCTTTTTCCTTTTTAATTACTTGCATTTTGTTAACTGATGTTTAATTTATTTCATTTTTTAATTTATTGCATTTGGCAGGGGGAAGTTCTGAATATTTTAAAGAACTTTAATTCCACGAAGACCTTTGGTTACAAGGCTGAGCTAATGTACAAATTATGGGGATGATGATGATGATTAAAATATGCATAAGATTAGGGATTCTATTCCTATTCCTATTTTAAATTAAATAGCTGCTATCCTAAGTTATTTATTTTCATTTTAGCATTCTTTCTGGAAAAAAAATACAGTTTCTTATAAGATGTCAAATTGTTGTCAGTTTAAGTATATTTAGATTCAACCTCTTCATTATTAGCGCAGGCACTCTCCACATATTTTTGTACTGTAATTCCCAGCATCAAGTCAGAATACCCAGTTGTCAGGGAAGCTTGGAGTTGTAATTAAGTTATATCTGCAGGGTCATACATTGCCTATTCCTGCTTTGATGACAATTTGGACTGTATTTTATGCAGAACATTTGGTATAATGGTCTCAGAAATTATTGGAGCAAATAATGAAGGTTTCTCGCCCTTAGCAAAACCACATAGTTGTAGGATTTAAATGATAATGTGATTCTTTTCATTAGTTCCACTGTGCCAAGTGCTCATGCTTTGTTTTGAACACCCACACTGCCTGAGAAGCATCTTACAGACACTGGCACTTAGGTTTAAGTTAATATACAAAGGAATTGCTCTGTCAAGTAACTTAAAATGGCTCAACTACAAATCTAGACAATTTGACAGAAAGTGGCAGTACTTTATCTATTCTCTAAATGTCAGAGATCAAACTGAAGTGAAGAAACCATACTGTGAGAAAAATAACTCAGACTTAAAATCTGCATCTTTAAAAATCTTTGGTAAGGAAATGATTCAGGTTCATGGTGTTTTAATTCGGTTCACTACTAAGTTCTCATGAAAGTCTCCATACATTTCTGCCATTGAAAAGCCAGAAACATCTACTGCTTT